ATTTGTGAATGAAGGAGCACACAAAGGCGACTCATTTGGCTTCATTTCTTCTCTCTAAGAGCTCTGCGAACAAACTCATTGCTCCCAACCTCAAAAATGAAACCTAAAGAAAATAAGACCAGCGAGATAGTTCTTCCTCCTCTCCTTGGAAAATCCTTTCTACTTAAATTCATCTTTATCCATTCCTTCTTCCAACACAGTCATTTACTGATCACATGCAGTAAGTAAAAGGCATGAAATGGGAAGATGTTATTCTTACTTTTCCTCTCACCATAGCTGGTGCTGAATAAAATCTTTCTAATTTTCCTTCATGCCATGTCTTAGTCTCACCGACTTTTGATGCTGGGTGGAAGGCTGCATCCTTCTCATTCACCTGTTCAACCACATTTACTGTGCTGTTTCTCTACGCTGAACCAAGCTGGGCCTAAGTCATATAGGATCAACTAAAAGAAAAATCGAGAGCGTAACTCCTCACTCCTTGAATAAGGGCTGCACATAGTGACTTCCTTCCAAAAACTACAGCATGGGAAGGGGTGGGGAAAATAGCTGTATGGTGGAGAAACCTGGCAAATACTACCTCAGCCAATTTCTCCAGGTCAACACCAGCAGTGGTAAGTCATGCTCACAGTATGTCTCTTGATGCAATGAGATGAAAATGGTTCTTTACTTCTGTGGTTTTCCTCCCCCAAACCCACAATCCGAGGCTTATGATGAGAAAAACATCAGAAAACTCACAACAGAAGGCCATTCTACAAAATATCTGACTGATATTCCTCAAAACTGTCAAGGTCATCAAAAACAAAGTCAGAGAAATTGTCACAAGTCAAAGGAGCCTAAGGACACATGACCATTAAATGTAATATGAGATACTGGAACAGAGAAAAACAGGCAGAAACTAAGGAAATACGATAAAGTGTGGATTCTAGTTAATAATAGTGTATCATATTGGTTCATTAATTGTGACAATGTACCATACTAATGTCAGATAATAATAGTGGCAACCAGCTGTGGGGTACATGAGAACTGTCTTGTACTATCTTTCCAACTTTTCCGTAAATCTAAAATATTCTAAAATGAAACATTTATTTAAAAAATGGAACTAGACCTCAAGAATATTAATGAGGAACAAAAAGAAGGCAGATTGTGGTACAGGATTGTAAGTGGGTTTGCGGGATTCAGCAGAGCTCAGGCCACCAGGTGAGAAGAGGCAGACGGTGGTGATGGTAGGGCAGTGTCTGAGGACAGTGGAAAGCTATGGATGATTCATGGACAGTTAGAAAAGGCTAAAAATATTATTGCACTTCAGAAAGGTCCTAGTTGAGGTCATCAGCATAAATTTTGGTTGGGAACAGCCAGCCCAGATGAGCAACTTTCTCATAACAACCAGGCCAAGAATAGAGAAAGCTGGTGCTGCAATCGACCCAGATAAGGGCTCAGTATACAGTTTCTGCAACAATCTCTCTCTCTTTTAACATAAACCACAATAAACATTCTTTCTCCTTGAATTCTTCCAGATTCATTATTCTATGAAGCCTGCTCTTCAACAGCCTCCTTCTCTCCTTTTTCCCACATTCTGCAGTGAAAAAGATGAATAATGATAGTGCAAAAACATTCTGATGATGGCTTAGAGAAAAATGTTAAATTAAAGGATTAAAGAAGCAAGATCTAGAACAAGTCAAAGGAATCCAAAGGAGGCTCAATCAATTCAATATACTCTGAGAATATTTTTCCACTTCCCAAAAAGAAAAAAGAAAAACAAACAATAAAACAAGAAAAGAACAACAAAAAGGTCACCAGCTTTTTAAAGGGAACTAGAGTCAGAGAAATAGAACCCCATGGTTTGTCTGCCTTCTGATCACCATAGGCAAACTAGCTAAGAACACCTAAAAATGAAAATGTCCTGCAAAGAATGAAACCAGTCAAACTAGAGAAATGGAAAATAACCATAATAATACATATCTTGTCTTTGTGTAAAACATTCTTAGTTGACAAAGCATTTTCACATGTATCTCACGTGATTCTAACCAAAACTTTGTGAGGTAGGCATAAAAATCCTTAGTGATCTCATTTCACACATGAGAGAGTGGATTTTCAGAGACTTTAAATGGCCTTTGATGGATCTGGGACCAGAACCTACACATCAGGCTCGGGGGCCTATGCTGGTTTTCCTTATGTCTGGCACGGAGGTGTGCACAATCAGCAGACATAGATAAAGAAGAGCTCATACTAGTAAGATAATGCAGAATATGTGTCTTTCCCCCAAAAGACACATATACAAAATAGAAATATTTAATTTTCTGTTATCATTATTGTGATAAATATATTTGATCATTAATTTGATGAGTAATGTCCTTCATAAAGTGAAGGACGGAAATCATATAAGAAATGTGAAAGAACTTAATGAGAGAATGCCATAGAAAGAAATGTAAAAGCATAGAAACTTTTTAGATTGACCTTAAGTTAGTTATTCTTAGACTAGAAATGAGAGAAATTAAGCAGGTAATATATATAGATCCTTAGAAAAAAATATACACATCTGGATCATTATGTGCTATTCTGAAACAACTGAATAGGAAAGGAAGGACAAGACAATGTTATAGAAATCAGTAGCAAAACTTGTGAGAAAGTGGGCTAAATTTATATAGTCTAAAAACATGACTCAAAGAGACATAATCACAGCCTATAAATATCCTCCAAGCAGCAATATGTGGTAAATAAAGGAAGTGAGTTATTCACAACCTTAGGTTCAGGACAATCCCTCTTTGTCCAGTTGTCTAGGGAAGACAGTGCTGTACCCCTGAGCTGGTGTCATCCTTAGAAATTAAAACAGCAGACAAGGGCTCACAAGGCTGGTCCCTGCTGGAGATACTCAGGAGTAGGATTTAAAAGCAGCAGCACATCGAATGGCATCCTAAGACTCTCCATATCGTTAGGAATTAGACTGGAGAGTCTCACGACACAATAAAGTATTTTCATTTTTTCCCTCACCTTTGATAAAGAATGACAGAGAATGAAATCAATCCAAAAATGCTTTTAGCTAGTGGCTCACCTGATTGGAAGACAAAAAGGAATATGAAAAGTCAAGAATATTATAAAGTGCTCTGCTTTGCTATCAGCACATAACGTAGTAGTGAGTCTCATGAAAACACAGCCAAGTTTATGAAGTCAAAGTCACTAGGTCAGGGTTCTCATAGCAAACCTGTCACTTACACTGTTGTATAGCTATAGTTTTCTCATTGTCATAAGGTAATCAATATTTGTCTCTCCTGGTAAAATCACATTTAAGACACCAAAACATTTTAAAAACCCACTGAGAGCTGTGAAGTACAAATTATTATTGATGATTAACATTAGTATGAGGATCCCTGATGTTACACTTTAAAAACATCACTTTTCACAAATATTCCTTTCACAGAATACTTTTCCTCCTTTTGAAAATTTCTAAGTTTTCGTATAAAAGCTCATGATCTCCTTCAGCCACAAGTTATTTCAAAAGGTCTGCATGGTCCCAGCCCTTGAAGTAGCCTAAATTGTTTGAATTACAGCCAAGATGGCCCTGGGCAGGCCCCTGCTGGGTGTACAACAACCCTCTGTAGAGTGATATTTTAAATATCAGGAGTTCTCTAAACACAGCATGCTTAACTCAGCCACAGAGCAATCCAAATCCAAGCTTTTTTTTTTTTTTTTTTTTTTTTTTTGCCTTTGCCTTTCCAAGCACAATTTTTCTACGCTTGTAGAGAAGCTGCCTACATTTGCTTGTATTTGCCTTCATTTTGTATGCAGGGAGAGGGACCTAGATCATTTGACAACCATCCTTAAATGGGCAATACGTCCTTATTAACATAAGAAAGATCTTGAGCTGTGTCTTGTTATCTTAAGATATTTATGAAAATAAGATGTTTATAATATCCTTTATGGCATTGCATGGATTGTACCCAGTGATGAGGTGATAACGCTGAAGTGTTTCACTGAAGGCTGCCTGCTTGCTATGACTACAGCCTGCCAACCAGTGTGAACTGGTCCCTGGGTGGGAACAATGGGTACACACAGAAAGTCAAGCAGAAAAAAAACAAGTATTTTCTATGGGAATATCTGGGACTCGTTTTTCCGCTTACAGCAATGGTAGCTTAGTGCTTCAAATGGTCATCGTTTCCCCAGGGGTAACCCACAAGCACTTCAATTGAAGCTGGGCCTTTGTGACAATATTAGCCCAAGAAACTGTAGACTTTTGTTTACTGCAATAGAAGCCCTAATAGACTTTGAATAAATGCCTGTGCAAGGAGGCAGAAGTCCATGCAAGCACACATACAGACAGACTATTAAAGCATATAATGGGATTATCTCCACTATAACTGCAAAGTTTATGAAAAACACTGTCAGGCTGCAGGTGCTGCCTGTGCTAACATCCTATAAGGAGACAATAACAGAGCTCCAGCCTCTATTGACTGCTTTCCTGAGTTGGTGGAATTTGCCATACCTGCAATATTAACATAGAATTATGGAAATTGGAAACAAAAAAGCTGGAGTCTACTAGGAATGATAGGCTGAAGATGAACTCAACTGGAAAATTTGGCTAACTGAAAGTGACATCCTTTGTGCTGGAATTTTTCTAACTGAAAGCTTTAAAAAGGCTGTAATTATTTTGAGTTTTCAATTCAGCCCTTTTCAAACTAAGCCTTTTATTTCCTTTGTTGCTCTGTACCTTTCTTCCATGTGAACTCGGGAGTTTGCCAGGCACTGAAGCGGTAAATTCATATTGGTTTTATATACAGATCCATTGTCAGATAATGCAACACAACTTCTGCATCCTCTATGCCAAGAAAAACAAAGGAATATTTGCACATCAAAACCTTTATCTTGTGTACAGGCTCAAAATACCTGAGCACAGCCAAGTAAGTCATCTAAGGAGAAATGGCTGATTAATGTCAAAGCATTATTTCTTTGCAAGTTAGTACATTTTCTCCACCATGAAGCCAAGGAATACAAGAACTTAGACTTACCTTGTGGCTTTTGGGTCCCAAATCACGATGTCAGCATCTGATCCTACAGCTATTCTTCCTTTTCTTGGATAGAGATTAAAGATTTTGGCTGCATTTGTGCTTGTGACTGCCACAAATCTGTTTTCATCCATTTTACCACTATGCTGTAAAGCAATTCAAAGAATCATTCTAATTATCAAATATTAAAAACTATCCTATCAATAAAATGACAAGACTTGCATCTCTTAAACAGAACCGCACCTAATTTCTTATAATGTGGACTATCTGAGGATGCTGATAAGTGTTAAACAGTCAAAATGCTAATGATGGAGATGATGGGGTAACATATGGAAGCCTGAAGATGACTTTTCAAAAGCCCCACTAATTAGCATCCCCACTAATTCTTCCCATTTATCCTAGAATCACACAAATTGTTATAGGTGACAGCTAAATTTTGGTAATAGTATTTTTGATTCTCATTTAAAGTTTGACACTACCACATTTATAATCTGGCTTATTTATTACACACCTAAGATTTATGAGATAATCATGTAGGCATTAAATAGAATATTATGGAGTGAGGACAGGTGACAATGATTTTTTTTTTTTTTTTTTTTAGATGGAGTTCTGCTCTTGTTGCCCAGGCTGGAATGCAATGATGCAATCTCAGCTCACTGCAACCTGCTGCCCAGATTCAAGTGATTCTCCTGCCTTAGCCTCCCAAGTAGCTGGCATTACAGGCATGCACCACCATGCCTGGCTAATTTTTTGTATTCAGTAGAGACGGGATTTCACCATGTTCTTCAGGCTTGTCTCAAACTCATGACCTCAGGTGATCCATCCACCTCGGCCTCCCAAAGTACTGAGATTACAGGCATGAGCCACCATACTCAGCTGACAACACTTTTAAATCAGCTGACAGTGCTTTTATTGTTTTGTTTTGTTTTAAAATAATATTATAGAGTGAAGATAGGTGACAACACTTTTAAATCAAGTGACCGTGCTTTTATTTTTTATTTTGAGACAGGGTCTTACTCTGTTGCCCAGGCTGGAGTGCAGTGATGTGGTCATGGCCCACTGCAGCTTTGACCTCCTTTGGCTCACGTGATCCTCCCACCTCAGCCTCCCAAGCTTTAGGTTGGTGCAAAAGTAATCGCAGTTTTGCCATCACTTTTAATGGCAAAAACTGTGATTACTTTTGCACCAACCTAATAGCTGGAATTACAGGTATGGCCCACCATGCCTGGTTAATTTTTGGTAGAGATGGGGTTTCACTATGTTGCCCAAGCTGGTCTGGAACTATAATCCTAACAGTTTGGGACAATCCACCTGCCTTAGCCTCCCCAAAGTGTTAGGATTACAGACAAAAGCCACCACACCCAGATTCAACCCTTTTGAAAAGATAAAAAAATCAACTCAAGAGGTTCAATTTTGTGGAATTGAAGTTTTACATGAACCAACAATTACGGATAGTTTATTGCAAGAGATTTTAATACAGACACAAATCAGAGTGATGTGGCTCCTCTAAAATAAAATTTTTAAATGTTAGGGGCTTATCCCTATTTACATGGTAAGAGGGTACTTAAGGTTTATTTAATAATCAAGGAGTCCTTGCTTTAAAAATGACTAAGAACCATGCCCTGAAAGTAATATTCCCATAAGTAAACCACATTAATGTTTCATAAAATAGCATGGTTTTCTATATATTATTAAGAACTATTCAGTCACTATAAAGACATTTATACACTTGGAAACTATATAGATTATGAAAATCTGCTATCATAAAGATATTCATTGTAATAACACAAGTTCAAGTGGAAGCTTCAACTGTTGTCAAGAAAATCTAAGTGGAGAGAAGTCATCTGGGATAGAGTTGGAGTGGAGGAAGAGGGAGTAAGGAAAATAATCAGCAGAAGATGGGGCTACAGAGGTGTTTTGAATATCTAATTGTAAGCTAATGATTCAACTATCATCCAATAAGTAATGGGGACAAGTAAGGGGTTTTTGAGAGAACAATAGCATGAACAGAACTTTATTTTTGAATGAGAACTCCCATTCAAAACCTATCCTCACTCTATAATATTCTAAACAAAACAATACACAACAATAAAAGCTTTGTCAGCTTTTGTTGGTACAGGACAAGAGTTCTTGTCTTGGAGTAGAGAAGATATTGTAGCAAGTGAGACCCTGGAGACAGGGATGAGCTGTGAGATTATTTCAAAGGTCCAAACAAAATATCAGCCTCCAACTAGGATAGTAGCAATGAAGAAAGAAATAAGGAGGTGCTTCGGAAATAAAATTGACAAGACTTGGTGATTAATTCATTAGAGTTAGAAGCATGTGGCATGTGTAGGGTAAAAGTAATCGAAAAGGATTCTTAACTGTGAGATACAATTAATGTATCATTTGAGGGAGGCATCCTAGGAGATGGGTGAGAAGGGCAGGACAATGGGGACCGGAAGTCTAACCAGGCAAGTCCCCTCTGCTGGTCTTCACAGCTCCACATGTCAACTGGCTGGACAAGTTAACACATAGACATTTAGTCATGATTCTTCTTTTAGTCATGCACATTTTAAAATTCTTTTTTCACAGACCTTAAATTATTATTTTTGTGACTTCATACAGAAATTTTAAAAATAGGATATCCATGGGTTCTTTAAGAAATGACATCAGGTCAGGTGCGGTGGCTTCTCAGCACTTTGGGAGACAGAGGGGGGGATTACCGGAGGTCAGGAGTTCGAGACCAGCCTGGCCAACGCGATGAAACTCCCTCTCTACTAAAAATACAAATATTAGCCTAGCATGGTGGTGGGCACCTATAATCCCAGCTACTTGAGAGGCTGAGGCAGGAGAATCTCTTGAACCCAGGAGGCAGAGGTTGCAGTGAGCCAAGATCGCACCACTACACTCAAGCAACTCTGGGCAACAGAGCAAGACTCCATCTCAAAGAAAAAAAAAAAAGTGACATCAACAGAGATTTCATGAAAAGGAAGTATAAACAGAATGAATCTCCTTCGTGTATTATTTATTTATTTATTTATTTTTGAGACAAAGTCTTGCTCTGTTGTCCCAGGCTGGAGTGCAGTGGTGTGATCTTGGCTTACCACAACCTTCGCCTCATAGGTTCAAGCGATCCTCCTGCCTCAGCCTCCTGAGTAGCTGGGATTGCAGCCATGTGCCACCACGCCCAACTAACTTTTATATTTTTAGTAGAGACAGGATTTTACCATGTTAGCCATGTTGGTCTTAAACTCCTGACCTCAAGTGATCCACTCACCTTGGCTTCCCAAAGTGCTGGGCTTATAGGCATGAGCCACCGTACCCGGCCCCTTCATGTATTTTCTATCATTTCAAATATTTGTACCAATGACACATGAGGCATTGGAATTCAAGAACATGAGAAATCAAGAAGATGGGCTATGCCATTTCAGAGAATTCAAAAATAACCCTCTTTGTACGATCTTAATTCTTCCCCTAATGTCTCTGCAAAATGGTGCCATGCATCCTCTAAACTAAAATAAACTACGCAGACAGAGAAGATTATTTCTTTGCTGATGCTATACTGAGGGGTGGAATGGTGGTGGAGGTGATAGTATTACATTCCTAATATCCTCCCTAGTAAAAACAATCAAAAAGCTACTGTATGAAAATTTGTGCCACTCTGGTCCTCAAATGGGCAGGATCCTGGCTAAAGAACTAGGCAAAATAAGGTTGGGACATGTGAAACCCACCACGCCTTTCTCCCATATTACTGACATCCGGTCTTCAACACCATTCACCCCATTGGGGATCTTGGTAAAATCATCCTTCCCAAGAGCTTTCTGGCAAGTGTTGAAAGTACAATGATCAGTCCCTGTTGTGGTTAGATCATCACTGTAAAATAAAAAAGCATGAGAGTGACAGGGTGAGTATACAGAATACATTAGGGGGAAACTGGCTCCCTTCTCAACTGAAGTCAGAAAAATGCAATGGAGAATGAGCAGTTTTTTCAAGAACATATTTCACACCTCTCCTGTCTCTATTCTAGGAAGCACCTTCAGAGGACACACTGATAGGAAACATGGCACAAGGCGGGTTAGGAAGCATGAGTTATAAGCTCAGCTCTGTCACTTAGTAACTGTGATATGTGCTTATCTGAGACTCTGTTTCTCATCTAGAAATGAATAGTTACATGTACTTGATGACGATAACTTCAGAATCACCAGCAATAATATAAGAGAAAACCCCTCGTCAGCAGAATACTCCACAAAGACATCACCATGGTGATCCTCATGAATGGAGGGCAGGTCCTCCAGGTCAGTCTCTAACCACATGGCCACACTGGGATGAACAGAGGGTGAGATTAGCTGAGGATGCTAAAATCACCAGGGACAGGAATCCTGCTTTGACTTGCAAGTAATCTTGGGGATGCTGAATCATGAAAGAGGAAGGAAGCTGAAAGAAATGGGCAAGTGAATCCTGGTACAGTCTGTCATGATACATTCTTAGCATAAGACTGACTATCTATGAATGGCAAGTGTTGGGATGCCCATGAACGGTTGGATTTTCTCTTTTCTTTCTTTCTTTCTTTTTGAGACAGAGTCTTGCTCTGTCACCCAGGTTGGAGTGCAGGGGCACTATCCTGCTCACTGCCTCTGCCTCCTGGGTTCAAGTGATTTTCATGCCTCAGCCTCCTGAGTATCTGGGATTACAGGCATGAGCCACCACGCCCAGCTAATTTTTGTATTTTTAGTAGCGATGGGGATTTGCCATGTTCGCCATGTTGGTCTTGAACTCCTGGCCTCATATGATCCACCCACCTTGGCCTCCCCAAATGCTGAGATTACAGGCATGAGCCACTGCACCTGGCCCAGGAATGGTAGAATTTTCAAGGAAAATAATCATACCTTCCCAGAAAGTAACAGTGTTACGTACACAACAACTTAGTCCCCACATTATATCAGCTTACAAAATTCAACAATATTCTGAGAAAAAAATAAGGCATAATGAAGAGCCCTGGCTTTGGGCAACAAGAAATGAAAAAAGTCAGAAAAGAGTAAAGTTTCAGTGAAAATGATCTGATTTCTCTGAGTCCAGAAAAGGCTTTGACAACATGTTACAGCATAATTAAGTCAATGTTTTTTGCTCTGCAGATGAGGGGTACCCAGGGCCTGTCAGGCCAAGTAGAAGAGAATATTGGGAGGTCAATGGAGGGTCCAGATGGGAGGACAAGCTCCCCTCCACCCAAACCTTCTTTTGGCAATATGCTTCCCAGTCATCTGCAAAATGATTACTTAGCCAACAGATTCATGAGGAAGTCGGGTGTTGAAGGGTCTGGTCGCAACGGTGGACCCATGACGTGGTGGGCGGCATGGTGCCATTCTTTATTCCAGTAGTGAGTGCCATCTGTGCCGAGACTGGCCGCAATGGGTTCTCCATAGACCACCTTCCCTGGAAAGATTAAAAGAAGCATTCATCACTTTAATTCACTCTTAAGAAGACCATCTAACAAACACAGAAAAATTAGACTTCTCTGCCCTAGCAGAGGGTAATCTCTGCAGTTTAGCAGAATCCCAAACTATGATTTACTTTTGTGAACAAGATTTAAAAACCCATGAAGAACATAAATATGAATAAGAAAGAAACCTCTGTAAGTGTAAGCTGTTCATATTTTAGATCCATTTTTATTGCCATATAACTTAGCAAAAGCTGGCCGGTACAAGAGCCATTCTAATGAAATCTTTTCCAAAACCCTACCAGATAAATGCTATTGTTATGTCCCTTAAAAGATGAGAATAAAGCTATGGAGTAATAACTTCTCAGCATTTACATCACATACACTCCATGTGGTGTGGAGGAGGTAGGATTTGAACCCAGGCATATTGACTCCAGTGGTCCTAACTTTTATGCTTTACTACCCTGATGACAGATAATTATTAGTTAGGTCATATGGAATTCAACCACAGTATATCTCTACTGCAAAGCAATTGATAACCTTTTCACACCCTTGAAAAAAAGTACTTCTCAATAAACTTGTATTAAATGAAAGAACACTCAGATAATAAAGTCTTAGCCAGAAATGCATATTTTAAAAATCATGCAAATGAGGCCATCAAGAAAAAAAAGTGTACAATGTTAGAAAAGTTAATAGTGCACAGTGAATTTGAATTTAAAATCAGAATCCTATCTCTGATTAGCATTTGTCAGAATAATAGGTTTGCTGGCATCAACCTGATCATATTCAGGCAATCATTAAGGAGAGTGCACAGTAAAGAGATGCTGGCATACTAAATTAGTTCATTCTGGTTCATCAGATGCTGAGTTTTAGTTAAAATCCTGATATATAACTGAAATTGACAGATTTCCTCAGAGAGCACTGACAGTGGATGGCCACCAGTTGCCTGAGTCATATCAAATTGGAACGTGGCACTCTATTATTTCATAGATACTTCTCCAGACTAGCCATCTTCCACTGGCTAGCTTAGAAATTTGAAAAACCATGAAAGCAAGGCTTACTGAAGCCTAAGAACTTCACTTCTTAAGTAACTAAGTATCAGTAAAAGTTCTCCTCTAGGGACTTAGCCACTGCTAACTTCCTTTGTGTCCCTGCCGTACTCTACTAAATAGTCCTGTCTCCATCTGGATTCTTACTGCCCTATTCCCAGAAAAGGAGAAACATCATTATCAGCTCTTTCTGAATATAGAATAAGCAGCAATCATTTTTAGTGAATGAAGAGGTAATGTACTATCTACAGGAGAACTGGGAAGATGGATGCGATATTTTATTTGCAGGTATGAAGAGACCTTCCTATTCCAAGGGAACGTCTTACAGATGCTTGAACAATAAAAACTCAGAGACTTGATCTGCAATCACTTTACGAGTTGCTGACTCGGTATTTTCCATGGTGCTTTATCATAGAGGAAAGATCCTTATCACATGTTCTATTCAATCACTTGGACCATCAAGGTGATATGGGAATATAGTTCCAAAAGTTCTACAATTTTAACAGCACTCAGGAAAAATTGAAAATGTCAGCATCTACCGGGAGTTTGCTAGGACTGTTTTGAAACCAGATGACAGGTAATTTCCTTGGAAGGGCTTAGCTCCTTTAAAATGTGACAGGCCACTTTAGTGGTATATACAACAAGCTCCATTAACTGGGCTATTTTCAACTTTCTCCCCATTTAGTATCTGTTAATATCCAAAGTAAAATTTAAAAGGCAAAATTTCTTAACTGCATATTCTATTTCCTATTTCACAATTTCTCAGGCATTTTCAAAGGACTAAAAAGCATGCAAGAACTAAAAAAAGGAAGGGAAACAGAAGTCCTGGATAATCTATAAATTGGATAATCAAACTGGATAATTCAGCATAATTATGGGTTCTGTTAGATTTGGGCTAAAAATAAAATAACAATAAAAATAGCTGACACATGCATACCATCCTATAGTTTGCAAAGCTCCCAAATACAATCTCATTTGACCTTCATAGCCACCTTCATCTGATTTGACAGATGAAGACATTGATGTTCAATGAGAGTAACTAATGTGCCCAGACACACTGGCACTAAGTGGTGCAGCCAGAATTAGAGTCATAGTATTATCATATCACATGCACTATGTTACTAGGAAAAGTGCCATTTTTTTATTTCTTGGGAAAGAGCATGTATTTCTAAATGTTTAAGTCAACCACAGGCTATTTGTGGATGTGGCTGAGCAATTTTCCAATTTCACTTACTGGTTTCATTTACTACACTTAGCTGATTGGCAATGAAAAGTGCTCTATCTGTCCGGAGCCTGGTCCTATCCTGATTACATTCACAACTGGAAGGTTTCAATAACCCTTAGGAGATAAGAACATCTTCATCATTAATCTCCTACCACTGTCTTAGCAAGCTTCACATTAGGTTATAGCTTGTCTACCCATAGATGTTCTCTCCTTATTTCTCCATTTTTTGGCTCAAAACCAAACAAAGAAAAGGCTGCCCTTTATGATGCAACCTCCCACTTAAAGGAATTTCATCCTTTGAGAGATTCTCAAGATTTCTCAGTAATGAAGCAGGTCAAACCAATCCAAACTCCCCACTGACCAGACAACTCATTTATTAGATGACGGTGATAGAGCAGATGTTAACACATTGTCTGGATCTGCAAGCAGCGTTTTATTGAGTCCTGAGATCTGCTAAAGAAGGTTGAAAGCAGCAGAGAAAAAGCAGAGGCATCCATGAGCAAAAGCACTGGCCACCAAATAGGAAACCAAACATGTTTATAGAAAGAAATCTTCCTAGACAAAAGGATAGAGCCAAACTTTCCTGGACTTTATTTTGATTCAAAACATTACATTTAGCCGGGCGCGGTGGCTCAAGCCTGTAATCCCAGCACTTTGGGAGGCTGAGGCGGGTGGATCACGAGGTCAAGAGATCGAGACCATCCTGGTCAACATGGTGAAACCCCGTCTCTACTAAAAATACAAAAAAACATTAGCTGGGCATGGTGGCACGTGCCTGTAATCCCAGCTACTCAGGAGGCTGAGGCAGGAGAATTGCCTGAACCCGGGAGGTGGAGGTTGCGGTGATCCGAGATCGCGCCATTGCACTCCAGCCTGGGTAACAAGAGCGAAACTCCGTCTCAAAAAAAAAAAAAAAAAAAAAAAAAAACCAAAAAAAACATTACATTTACAAAGGAAAAAAAAAGAATTGAAAAGGAAAATACACAGAAGCAGCTTGGTAGAATGGGTAATACAGATCTAGGTTCAAATCTGGATTTTGTTACTTTTTAGCTGGTGACATTGTACAAGGTAAGTTATTGCTCTTAGTCTGTTTTTCTCATCTGTGAAATGGGATCACAATGTTCCTCTAGTGTAGCAATTTTGTGAAGGTCAAATAAATGAATATTTATGAAAGTACCCAGAATCTTTCTGGGACCCTGAGTCATTTCATGTTGTGGGCTAAATTGTGTCCTCTGCCCAAATCCACATGTTGAAGTTCTAACCCCTGGTACCTCAGAATGTAGCTGTATTTGGAAACAGGATCTTTATAGAGGTATGGAATTTATTGTGAGGTCATTAAGGTGGGCCCTAATTCAATAAGATGGTGGTTCTTATAAGAAGAGGAAATTTGGACACATACAGGGGAAGATAATGTGAAGACACAGGAAGAAGACGGCCATCTACAAGCCAAGGAGAAAAGCCTGGAACACATCCTTCCTCCACAGCCCTCAGAAGGAGCCAACCCTGTTGTCATCTTGGTTTTGGACTTCGAAACTCCAGAACTGTGAGAAAATAAATTCCTGTTGTTTAAGCAGCCCAGTCTGTGGCACTTTGCTACAGCAGCCATAGAAAAATCATACACTCCACAAACATTAGTTTCCTAGTAGCCACCCAATTTTATTTAAAAAAAAAATTTAACTTCTATGTAATTGGATAGAATGTAAATCATCTTGTTCTAAATTTAAAGGACCATGGGATGTTCTGATGTTCATATGCAAGAAAGAAGAAAGGCAGTGTGGCCAATATGGTGAAACCCCATCTCTACTAAAAATACAAAAAATTATCCAGACGTGGTGGTGCACACCCATAGTCCCAGCTACTCGGGAGACTGAAGCACAAGAATCACTTGACCCCAAAAGGTCGAGGTTGCAGTGAGCCAAGATCACACCACTGAACTCCAGCCTGGTCAACAGAGTAAGATTCTTTCTCCAAAATAAAATAAAAAGAGAAGAAAGGAAACCTGAGACTCAAAACCACCTTGACAAAGTGGCACATTGATTCTGGCCACAGCACCGGTGCCTAAGCATCAGTTCATCGCATGTGAGTAAATGAAATTTGGTGTATTCTTGTTCAACACTGCCAATCAGGACTCAGTGTGACCATTTGGGGAGAGAGGAGCCACTGTGTGAATTTTTCTCCCTTCTTTTAAAACACAAGAGAAATATAAAGGGGACAGAGTTTACATAAAATGGAAAATAGAAATTCTAAAGCCTCTGTTGATAAAAAGAGTCAAACTCTGTAAAATAGTTGAAGAGATTTATTCTAAGGCAAATATGAGTAACCAATGGCCTATGACACATCCCTCAGGAGATCCTGAGAACATGTGTCCTAGGTGGTTGGGGCACAGTCTAGTTTTATACATTTTAGAAAGATAGGAGACATCAGTCAAATACATGTGAGCTATACATTGTTCTGGTCTGGAAAGGCAGGACAGCTTGAAGTGGAGGCTTCCAGGGTGTAGGTAGATTTAAAAATTTTCTGATTGGCAATTGGTTGAAAAAGTTATTATCAATAGAAAGAAATGTCTGGATTATAATAAGGGGCTATGCAAACCAAAGTTTTATCATGCAGATGAAGCCTAGAGCACAGTACCTAGCATGCGCTTGGCATCCAAAAACTTCATTGATTGTGAAAAGTATAAAGCAAATATTTGTTAAGTTCAAATGAAAATCATATTTTTACT